CAATACTGTGCTGGAAAATTCATATTTATAACTCATATGGGGAATTTTTCTATGCAATTCAAGATACACAGATTTTTTTTAAAAAAATACGTTTTTGTAATAACAATGGCCATGCCTATTGTGCCAGTTAGATTTTAATAAATGAAATTAGGTTTGCTGTGGTGTTGAAGAATAATTTGAATTTAATTGTGTATAGTACAGGAGCTTGAATGAAAGATTGTAGTGTCCTGTAACAAGCTATAATTGCAGAATATATTAAGCTTCGGCTGCTACTGTTTAAAATGCTGGTTGAAACTGAGCTAAATTAGGGAAAGGTTTACAAGGTAGGATTGGTGAGAAGTATATCAATTACTGTCTTGTGTTCTGAAAGGGAACTGTCAGTCTTATGAGCTACAGCAGACAGGAAACATGACCAGATGAGTAATTCTACTTTATTGTTATGCTACATTAACAGAATCTTGCAAGTTTGAAAGTTCATTTTTTCCCCTAGCACCTTTACAGAAAAACTAGGGAAGATCTCATCTGAGATCTCTTGGCCTGTCCACATTCCTGCTATGGACTCAATTGCCTTGACCATTCCCTTGACTGTATCATTATCTTTGTTTAACAACCCCATAATCCCTTGTGGGGTGGAGCCTGGACAAATGAATGGAACTAGCAGAGTGATTTAATGGCCAGATGCCCTTCCTGTTGCCAATGCAGAGTTTTGTTCGGCAGATATATTCTCAATGTGCCCAGAGAGAGAAATATCTGCCTCTACCTAGGATTGAATTCACAGCCTCATGATTGTGAAGTGAGATCTCCACCTCTAGGCCACTGCACCACTCCATTTCCCTTGACTGTGTCCCTTTGCACAAAACTAGGGAGCATCTCTTCTGAGTCTCTTGCCTTGTCCACTTTCCTGCTATGGACTCAGTTGCCTTTTATTTGACTGTTCCCTTGACTGTGTCCCTTTGCACAAAACTAGGGAGCATCTCTTCTGAGTCTCTTGCCTTGTCCACTTTCCTGCTATGGACTCAGTTGCCTTTTATTTGACTGTTCCCTTGACTGTGTCCCTTTACCCTTTCTCGCAAGACCATTAGCATGTACCATTATAAGATCAATCTCAGAAAAGAATTATAGGGGTGTCTTTCCATTTGCCCTTGCCCTTTGTCTCTCATTTCTTCCCAGTCCATCACTACTTGAATTTGTTGGCCAATCCAAAACCCCGCTATACTCTGCTTCCTACCTTGGTCTCCATCCCACTTGGGCTGGTTGTTCTGTTCCTCTCCCAGCCATCCTCAATCATCACTCTACTAAGAGAGGGGAAGGCACTCAAGTGCTAACTCTCAGCATCAGCCAGAGTCCTCAATCTCTAATTCATTCAATGTACCTGCCCAATAACTTGACTGTCCCACTGACCAGTTGTAGATGGACCTGATACATACACCCTCCTGTCTCTCCCTTAGAGGAGATTCCAAACACTCTATATAGGCTCATCAGTAACCAAATAAAGCATTGTATTTCTTCCTTTTTATTTTAACAATCTTGTTTATCAGTCCCTTCAAATAATATCCTACTTTTTTCATGTTTAAAAATTTAACAAGCCTCATTTGTAAATCCAATATATCCTGATAACTTTCTTGGTATATTATTTATTTGTCCCTTTTAACTATCAAGACATCAGCTGGTTTCTTTTGTATGTTCAGTGCAGCATTATTTTCCATATAATTCTTGTAGCCTGTTGTTCTTAAATCCACTTTCAGATCAGTTCAATCGTTTCAGATTTTTTTCTTAATTGTTTTAAAAATATTAAAAATATATCTATAGATACAGCTGTTTCTAAAATTAACTTCTGGGTCCATTATTAAGAAATTATCTATACTTTTTTACATTTCTGGCTTCCCGGAAACACAAAAATATGGGACAAAAATTTGGAACTGGGTGCAAGAAATTACAGGAGAACAGATAAAATACAAATCCAAAATCTTTCTGCTGGGAATAATCAAA